GGGGAGGGGGGGGGGGGGGGGGGTCAGGTGGAGTTGACCCAACCGCAGTGGGTTTACACTGTTTGCCAGTAAATCCTTTCCCAACTTTGGGATCCGGGTTTGCCAATTTTTCTAGACCAGTTAGCCGCTTGTGAGTGGTCAATCCCGTGTGTCCCTTTCACTTCAGCTATATAAAAAAAACCCGATCACGAGTACGCAGTGTGTCGAACTGAGGCTGTGAGTGCAAGTCATTAGGGAGCCAAAGTCAAAGTTTTGTTGTTGGCGGATGTTCTTCTTGTCCCGTAGGGTGTTTACACCAATTGAACTGTGACAATGATGAATAGAATTCCATATGTTGTATTCGATTGTGTTATGTGTGCTCGTGGATATTGGAGCGTAATGTGTGTTAATGATTCGTCAAGTTTAACCTTGAAATAATCAATCGTCGTGGCACAAACTACATGAAATGGTTAGGAATTCCAGACAGTGCGTACTCTGACGGCGAAGGAATGACGTCGACAGTCCAGTCGAGATTTTTGGAGTAGTATTTTGAATGGATGTCCCCTGAGATTAACCTTTGGTGACAACGTGAAAAGTGGGCGACAAGGGTGGTTTGGGTTGTGTAATATTTGGTACACTAAAATCAGGTCTCCTCGAATCCGATCATACTGAGCAGAGTATAGACCCAATGACTGCATTCTCTCTTATGTGACCATCTTCGTGGCGAGCCTTTGTGGACGCTCCAAAATCTTCTGATCACGTTGTACTCATGGATTCCAGGTTTGAATGGCTACTCAATATGCGGCCGGATGTATGCTGACAGCAGACGTGGCAATAAAGATGGTTCAATAGGATCCCGAAATCGTGAAACCCGTTTTTATCGAGACATCCACCACGAGATAACCCTGTACAAGTGACGCTATACTGCTCTGATCAAAAGCCTAAAATGATTCAGCCATTCCGTTTTTCAAAGTGCTATTGCGAAGTTACTTATACCAAACCCACCCAACCTAAATCCAGAACAAATGTGCTTACGAAGGCGTACTTCCTGACTTATCGGGGTTTGAACATCTGTGGGTAATCCGAAAGTCACGTAAGAACCTGACCACGTACATGATCACGCTCATTTGGGGTTAATTTCACTTTAGTTCAACAAGTTTCCGGATTGGATTGGACATATCACGGAGTAACGAGTTGTATGACTGATTGAAATGGCCACGAATTGTCGGACTGTTGGGTGTTGATCGGTCGATCGATCAATCATTCTGGCAATGCCTACTATTCTATCCCGGAAGCCGTCCGATCCTACCCCGTACGATTCACCAAGCAATGGAACAGCAAACTCTATTCGTCCTGATCCCCAACAAATAAACACAATTGTGTACCACCTGATTACTCTTCATTGTTCTGACCACTTCACAGCGCACGAGGTCATTCGCTTGATTCTAGTTTTCGACTCAAATTGGTGATTCGGAACCAGAGATCAGCCTATATAGTATGACCTAGTGAGTGTGATGTTCTTTAGAAACGCGTGATTATCAATGTTGCACGCAGGTGTGTCGTATATCGCACCTGATTTTGGTTTGATTATCAGTCTAGTGTTGCACTCATTCGTGCTTTCGAATAACCAGACTATAACGCCATCGTTGAGAGAAAATCATTGTTTTTTTTTTTAATTCTGAGACCGCTTACGGTAAGTCATAGTGGTTCAGAATGCGGATGTTTGTGTTTTCCAAAGTGGAACTTCTTTGTATGCTCTCTAATAGCCTTTGCTGAGGAAGCCCTACTCACTGCCTTCTCGTGTCGGAGTTGTTTCACCTGCAAAGTATGAGGACGAATAGTCGACATATGGGGCTATAACCGGGTTGGCGGACCATTGGTAGTTCACCTAGGGGAGTAGGCCAAACACCCTGATTTCAAACCAACCATGAGAAGGAATACGAACCCAACACCTGAGTTGTGGTCACCGGCTCGATTGG